ATACTCTTTTTTAAGTGTGGCGAGCACATTCTCCATAATCCAAGTTCCAGTGTCAGTCTCTTGGGGAGAAGTTTTGACCACATGTATCAAGGTCTGGTGCTGTAGGGCGTTGTCTACTTTACGTACAGCCACAGAAATGTGCCAAGAAATACCGCGTTTAGCAAACCAATCTGCCTGGGTTTCGCGGTATTTCTGTGGCAAAAACTTCATAGCCCAATCCTGTGTTATCAAGACAGAGTTTTCATCTAGGGCGTCCAAAATATCAGTACGGGCTTTATCTTGTTTGTCAGACCTTAGGAGATGAGCCTTCCAACTGTCAATGGCCTGGACGGCTGTTTGATAGCAATACGGCAGATCGTCATCACTATCTGGATAGAGATAGTGTCTTTTATTGTTGTTAAGGTAGATCTTAGCTCTTCACATGATGGACAGCATTCATCATGAGAATGTTCACACTTTACTTGATAGGCTTTTTCCTTCTGATCACTTAGCGCGAATCCAATACAGTGGTCGGCGGTTTTCGAGTTTTCTACGATGTTAACCTGTTAAAGTAAAATGTGTAAAGTAAGTCGTAAAGCAAAATGCAACAATGATGTTTGGTGATTTACCTTATAATCGGTCTTTAGGTATTGCTTCCCGTCCTTTAAAGCTCTTTGTAATTTCTGTCCTTCACAAACATGAAGATTGTGTTCCGAAAGCTTATGAATGATAAGGGATAAATCATGAAATGCTGAACTTCCTTCTGCTGAAATATAGTCCAAGCCCTGAAGAGATTTTCTCACAGATGCCGTGCACGATGTGAGGATGCGATGCATGGTAGCATAGCTGAACGGCTTGAAGTTCTCCTCTTTGCAGAATTGAAGATATTGCTTAATAGTACGCTCTTTGACCATTTCACGTATTATGTTTGGTGCTTCTACAATCTTGCCATTAGACAGTCGTAGATTACGCTGGCCAAACGGAATATCTTGTACCACATGGGGACTGGTAATGAAATTCAGAAAATGGTCAAGCTGTACAGGGTCCACACACATTCTGGGTGATACATCTTTGATTGCTGGTGCTCCACGTCCATTGCTAGTTTATGTTCAACTAGTTTTGACTTTTTCGTTGCCTCCCATAGTGCACCTGCATCTCCAGGAGCGATAACATCTAGAACTGCTGTAATTACTTCACTTGTTTTTGATACATGGTTCATCTTGGTGCGGTGCTGCAGCTCACTAAAGCTCTTCTTTGAAAGAGGAATAAATTCAACACCAGAGATGGACAGGAACTTGTTAAGAGCACTGCGACGAGAGCTCAAATCTGTAGATGTATTTTCTTAAAAAGGATTTTCATAACATAAGGCTTTGTATTGAATGTAATGCTGCGATAATAATGACACAAGTTGTGGCATTATTTAGCTTAATAAAATTAGCTTGACTTATTTGGATCCTTGAGCTTCAAAAGGCTGGTCGAATAAGGTCCGAACAGGGTCCACAGAGGTGAATCGCCTTCAGCATTATCATCGTTAGTCTGCAAGCAATGTTAGAATATCTTAGTGATGTACCGTGTCGTTTAGACAAACATGCTAGTTATACTCATGTCAGATTGAAGCAATCTCTTTCTGGCGCTATTTCTTTCTGGTGTTTGGGCGCAAACGTCAGTTGAAGTACTGGTACTGGATGTTTGAAAATGTGAAAGTGGTGTCTGTTGTGCTTTGCAGTTCCTGGTGTTACTTGGAGTGCGTGTCTTTTTAGTGCTTGTTGCTGCAACCACTGGTGTTCTACAACACGCCATGAGTTCAGAGTACTCTTCGGTGTTTGCAGAGATGTTGTGTCTTCTCTTTGCATGTATGTCCAGTCGCATCCCTCTCAAAGTACAGGTGTTGCCAGCTTCGTCCTTGTGGTGGCAGTGCTTCTCAGGTAGTACACGCACTCTGGCATTTTTCGCTTTCCACCTGTTGTATTCCTCCTCAGACCACGAATGCTGACCGCTCATCAAGTGCAATTTCGGCTAAAACCCAGTTGAAAACGTCGTTTTTTGAATGCGCTCTGTCATAGTTAAAGAATGTCATCTATAAAGATATCAAATAATGTGAATTATTAGAAAGAAAACGAAAAAAAAGCAAAAACAGGCGAAAAAAATAACTAAACTTCACCCTTAATTTATGTAAAAATTAACGATGACGTCAGCATGAAATTATCATAGGCGTGTCCACTAATGTCTTACCAACAACTCTGGATAATTTGTTTAAGCAACCCACCTTTTGTTTCGCCGTAAAACGGTCAAGCAGTGGAGAGAAAAAACAAAAACACACTTCTAAGCCATGACTTAAACCACGACTTAAACCCGACTTATCAGCCATAAAAGAAAGAGGTTTAATTCAATTCCCTTGAAACTAGCTATAAAAATTAAGCATTGTGCATTCAATCATCGCCGCTAATATCAATCCATAATATAGAAATGCTATTTTTTATAATGTTAAAGTTTAGAAAAGAAGCATTTTAAAAAAATCATAAAATACGAATTATTCAATGTTTTAGCATGGAACGTTGCACACATATTTACCAAAGTACAACCTACATGTAGCATTTTTATTTTTGGATAAATATGTTTTAGTTCTCTTTTAAAAGACTCCTACATTTTTTGGGCAAAAAAATCTATAAAATATTCAGAATGACGTCATTAATTTTTAAACTCTTACAAGGTATGCCGCAAAGATTGTAGTATATGTTGCTAAAATATCTAAGCAATTGATTTCATATTGAATATTTTATGGATTTTTTTGTTATAACGTGTGACTTTTTTTCTGTTTTTCATAAGGAAATGAAGGGTCATTGTTTACATAGTTTGTTGACACATAAGTCCCCTTTGTTTGTCATTATATTTTTTTCTTCCCACCAGTGTAAAGACCACTGTCTTAAAAACATTTTGTGCGGGTTTCATGGTGTCTGAGCGTTTTGTGAATATTTGGTGATTTTTTGAAAAGAGGAAAAAAAATTGGACAAAGTTGCCACTGCATATTTTTGGAAATTTAAACTTGCCCTGTGGACCATAAACGCTTTCCCATTCAACGGTGCTCACGTGCTGGTTGCTATGGAAGCAGCATTCAAACATGGCCAATATGGCACTATTTGGTACTCAAAAGCAGCCCATAAACGGCAAATATTTAAAAATAAATCACACTACATTGTTGACTGTTAGTTGGGCTTCAATTTATATAGAGTAACATTTTTCACAGGTTAGCCATCTTCGGGGGGTACCAGGGCCCATAAGTTCAAAAAGTGATACCCTAGAAAAACTATGAAGGTTTCATTGGATCTTATAGGCTATCCAATCAAAAACGACGCTGTGGAAGCATTGCGCAATCAAACAAGAAAACGAGGTCTGGCACACCAATATGTTTAAAGAGCGTTTGCCTACAACTCAACGAGTTTGATATATATTGTTGCTCTACACACGTGGTACGTGACGTAGAAAAATTAGCGCATAATCATAAATATTTAATGAGGTAGAGATTTTTGATACCGATGACGGTTGAAAAACTCTGTAAAATCAGAAATTGAATAGTTTTGCTTCAAAACTGCTTTGATGCATTGTAAAAGGACACTTGTATCTCAAGGTTCTTCTCCTGAAATTCGAAGTCAATGACGTCACAAAAAAGGACTTTGACTTTAGAACGTGTTCGCATAACCCTATTTTTAAATGCTAATGAGTTTGCACAAAATTCTAATGAGTAGAACTAATGCGTTAACAAAAGAACAATACCAAAGTATGTTTAAACACCAGGCGAAAAATTTACATGACAACTAGCTAAATATTGCTAAAAAACGTGCACGTCTTTCTGAGAGAAATGCGGCAAGCTCAACACAAACGTAATDGGGAAAAATCATGACAAGTGATTCATAGTGCGACCTAAATGAGGCTTCTTTTTGTCTAAACGTAAAACGGCATTTTTTGTTTTCGACCTCACATGTATATTAACACCGTTTACGTGTAAACGGGACCTTTATATTCGGTAGGATGTAATGAAAGTATAACAACAGACGTTTTTTAGTCCAACTATACGTTATTTTATTTCATATTGCTTACATGCAGTTTTATGGGGACTTATCTAGAATGTCATCAACTTTTGACAGCAAGTTTTTAACGCTGTCCATAGTTTCAAGTGCTTTTTCGCACATTTGTTTGTGTGCCTTATAGGCGGAATCAGCATAATGGTCTTTACTTTTAGACTTTCTTTTATTTGAAGCCGAATCATCTTCCTTTTGGCTATCTTCGCTATCTTCGTCAGAAAGCACCACCAATTCATCGTACAGCTTTGCTTTTAAAGCATCTTGTCGACGCTGGCCTGGATTTTGTCGTTTGGCATATTTCATTCGATTTTCCACAAGAACGCTTCCTGGACTGTCTTGAATTGCTGTGGACTGAGTTGCAGTTAGTTGTATTTGTTTTGAGTTAACTTGAAGCTCTTGCTTTATGATTCTGCTCATTCG